TTCTACCCTTCCTGAGAAATCCTTCTTCAAAGAGACAGGACCACCACAGAGCGATTCCCAGCCCTGCTGGATGTGGAAGCTGCTGGAGGATGTTGCCATAAGGCAGAACATGTGGCTGCCCTGGTGCCCAGGGAAGACAGCAGCACTGACTGGCTTTGTGCTGTTTGCTAGTAAAATAGAAAGGTAAGACATATGAAAGGGAAGTTTGTCTAGTAGATGCGACAGCGTATTAGCACCCAGCAAAAACTGAACACTGCTCTGTTTCTTCTGCTGCTTTCACTTAGTCAGTTCATAAATCACATTTCTTATTCAAAAAGAAAAAAAAAAGGCAAAAGAAGACAAAAATATTTCTTACCTTTCCTTATACGGATAACGAGAACTGAGCTGGCAGACACTGGCATGGAAGTGGTCTGACATAAAAGTGTGGAGAGAGCAGCATTAAGGAGAATACGCTGTGCACGCCCTGTTTGCTGTTTCTTCCTTGACCAGATGGGGTTTGAGTGAATGCCACCTAATCAGAAGAGAGGGAGAAAAGTAAAGACGTTGTAATGAAAGGTAGATACTGTGGGGACGAAGAGCTTAAAAAAAACCACCTTTGAAATAGTATAAAATTGATACTTTCACACAAACAATTATTTCCCCTCGCACCATCTATTGCTACAGATAAACACTCCTTGCCAACTCTGCACTCACACACCCACTCTCCTGGCCACGTCCCCTGGAAATGCTGCAGTGATAACAGCAGAAAGAAGATAATGCTGGCATTTAAATTTGCAGTTACTCAAATTAGCTGAGCTGCTACTTGCAATAGAGCAATAAATACTTCAATGGTCTTATTTTGGGAAGGAATTTCTTGGGACTGTGACAGCTCAGTGCTGCTCTCGGGGCAGGGAGAAGCAGAAATAATCACGTGGTCACTGCTGATCTTCTGCAGGATGCACACTCCTGGGTCCCCAGGACAAGCACGTGCATGGAGGAACCCGCCTTTTTTCATTACATTTCTATGACAGCCACCACTATAGCACCAGAAAACACACATAAGCTGGGTTTAAGGTACCAGCTTGGGTACAGCCAAGATAAAACTCGTTGGGGCCGCAACGTTCACATGAAAAGCTGGGTAAACCATGAGGAAATTCTTCACTGAGCTCCATGCTGGGGCAGAGTCACTGTCAGCAGCATGTGAACAAGCTAGCATGAAGGCAGCGTAAGTATATTGTGGCAGTCAAAAGGGATCCTCAGATATCAAGCACTGTGGGACTGGCAATGACAAGGCTGCATGGTCTCTTGTAAAACCGTACATCTAAACTGGTCGTACTGTGTATGACATGATAACAAGGAGCAGATGTAGTTTAAGCATTTATATTTTAACTTGAGGGTGGATAAACCTCACAACTGAGAGCCACATACTGACAGTCATAAGAAATGGACTGCGTATCTCAGAATACTGAAGGAAAAACTGTGGTTCCCTAGCGGAAGATAGTATGAAAGGCAGCAATGCACTGCGTGATTCCAGGTTTCCTTCAGAGTAGCGTCAGTGAGCAGCACTGTCCCCAGACCACTAACAGGTGGGAGAGCAGAGGGACCACATACATATCCCCATTGCAAACACAAAGAGGAACCACTTGCTGCTGCTTCTGTTGGTAAGCTGGCAAATACCCAATAAACACACAGACCTTGTCAGCTTTCCCCCAGGTTTTCTGGGGGAAAAAGTAACAAACGGACAATGGTGGATACAAAACATAACGGCAGTTCTACATGTGAACATTTTTGCTCCATCAATTAGGTAAAATTGATGCATGCTTTATGACACGTTGAAGTATTGTGACAACTCAGACAACACTGCAGAGCACAGATAACTTCAGGGTCTGTAAAATGGTTTGCATATGCATAGCTTAAGACCATACTTCAAGCAGCGTAATAGAAAATTATAAAGTGATTTTTAATAGCATAACCTGTAATTTATATTTCATTAACTACTCAAGTTGAATTTTGATACTGTAAAAGTACATTTTTTTCAGCTTTTACTTTCAGCAATCATCAATTTTTTTCTGACAAGTGGCACGTCTTATTCAATGGCTTTGGTCCTCTGTTTTTAAATAATATTGTTTTCCAGAATATCAGTATGACTGTATGTAGACATTTTTTAAAACAACCTAGTGACAGCAATTTCAATCAAAAATGAGAAAAAAAATAGAAAACTTTTTTTTTTTTTTTTTTTTTTTAAGCACTATGAATAACAGTAACTGCCGCAAGTCAGAAACAAGAAAGGCAAAGCCAGTACTGGGGTACTTTGGCTTCATTCATCCTGAAGTTTGTTACTTGCAGAAGAATTACATGGGCCCTATGTATAGAAGTTAATACTGCAGTAGATCACCATTGCCATCTCCTGGTAAATAAACCATATAACTGTATTCTGAGGCTTTTTCTAAACAGCCATATATTGTACAACTGTAGAGAGATTACACCATAAATAGGCAATAAAGGATTTAGGGTATTTATTGTGAGCCTTTCATTGCATTTTTATTCTTTGCTCACATAAGACCTTTACAAAGAACTGCATTACAGCTGATAAATAGTGGCATTTGTTCCAATGCACTCTTTATGCTGGAAAGAAATACCACTAGTTATGACTCTGTAAATTAAGGAGACGATGGGTATTGTTGAGATTGAAACAAATATCAGGGCTGTTTAAGAAAAATGCACCATAACCAGAACAGATACACTCTCAGAGAAGAGGCATTAGTTTCCAGTGTATTTTGATGAGAAACAAATATGGGACTGTGATGTGGTAGTCACAGCCAAGGCAATGTCAAACAACGCCAAGTCACATCATGAAGTGACAGTAGGGACAATGATAATCTGTCATTTGTTATGGTATTTTTAATCCTTTTATTTTCTCACTGTTTTCATTGTCCTACCCATTGTTATTCTCTATTCTGCTCCTTCCCACTTGTCTATGCTCCCTTTTGTCTTTCTGCTGCTAAGTGAAACTGTGTGTGTGTGTATATATATATATAAATACATACATTAATGTACGCATATAAATAATATCTCCTTTCCTGCTGGGAGAGGTCAGGAGTAGGCTGACCCCAAAGACAGTCTGACAACCCCCCAGAAGTGCTGCTCTGCCCCTCAGCAGCAATAGGTCCTCCCCTTGCTGTGCAATCACTCACAAGCACAGGAGGAAGGACAAGGAGATGTGTCTACAACCCATTACCCCTCAGAGCAGAGGGCAGTTTTCAATGTGATGTTGAGCCTTGGTAAATCATCCTTTCAATCAAATCAGTAAACAGAGAGAAATGATATCTAACCAGCAATAAATTTCAGACAAATTCAGCAAGAAGTGACAGACTAGTCAAATGTCTATGCTTTATACTGCGGTGCTTCTCTCTGCAACAAAGTGATATCCTTTATTTGCAGATGCGTACATACTGTCAGCATTGCCACTTAATAGGACATTGGACAACCCCTTTAACAAGTGTTTGCTTTTTCCCATAGAACAGCAATGAACTTTTTGAAGGCAAGGATGCATCGTGAATCATAAAGGTGGGAAAAGACCTCTAAGATCACCAAGTTCAACCAGCAACCCATCCCCACCATGGCCACTGACCTTGGCCCTCAGTGCCACATGTCCATGGTTCTTAACCACCCCCAAGGATGGTGACTGCACCACCTCCCTGGGGAGGCTGTGACAGTGCCTTGATAGCCTTTTTGAGAAGAAATGTTTCCTAATATGCAGCCTGCAGGAAGAGTGTCTACCTCAGAGCAGCCTCTGCAGTGGTAACAATCCTGTTGTTTTTTCTCCCACCCATCAGCTACACACCCAACACTCCAGTAGATGAGGTCAACTGCCAACCTGAACACAAGGATGATAGATGATAGATAGGGCAGAGGTAATTTAGAGCTGCCACAGTGTCAGAAAGAGTGAAGATTAACTGAAGCTCATAAACAGCTGTGACAAGTGGCAGGGTGTGGGACACCTGGAGGAAAAAGAATAGCTTGGAATGAGAGTGAGAAAAGGGTCTTGACAGGATTAAAGAGTGGTCTATTTTCTCATCAGCTGCGTACCCTCATAAGAGGACTCAAGCTTGGAATCACAAAGGCATTACAATCTGGAGTCCCTAGCAGATTACATTTAATGATCTTAATAGCTATTAAGACCAAAAGAAACTAGAAGATACAAGCTGAATATTAGACTGTCCCAGGGGATGTGGAATCAACACGCAGTGCTAATGGCATCCACAGTCGTTCCTATTAGACTGTGCCTAGAAACTTCTCCCTGAAGCACCACTTCAATTATGTATTTATTAATTTATTTTTATTTGCTTTAGCTGTTCTCCACTCTTTATAAACACACGTGCTTCCTACTGAAAATAATAAAATCATCTCAGTGAGTAAATGGGTACAAAATCTGAGCTCTAATAATGAATGGGTAGAATTGGTAGCATCCTTTAAAAATGGCAGGGAAAAATACAAATGCCCATACTGTGGAGAAGGAGAAGATGAATACAAACTAGAAACTGAGATATATTATACTTCATACAACTGCAGCTGAAAAAGAACAGCCAAGTATTTGCTGAGAAGAGTACACATATCTTAAGGAAATCTGGGACTAAAACACACTAGCAATAAGTGGAAAATGTGATTCCCACCCCCCTCACCTGTGATGGTGATACCCCCAACCCCACTTCACTTGTTACGTCCACAGAGCCATTTACTCATCCATCACCATCAAAGAAAAGTCATTTTACAATATCCAACCAGGCAAGAGTAGGCAATGTGGACACTGCCATCATGGGCTGGCAAACTTCGGACTTGAAAAATGAAAGTTCAGTGATCCTGCACATCAAGTGCGTGTAGTATAAGAGTAGTGAGTGTTGCAGTTAATTGCTGCTGGTGCTGGTTCATGAACTTTTTGATCTCTGCTTACTTGACAGCACACACATTGACGAATAATGCTTGCTTGTTATCAGCACGTGTTGTAATCAGTAAAAGGGGATCAACTGAAGGCAGACTCAAGTATCATTTGCACTGCTTCCAGCACTAAATTTCCTGTCAAGAAGGAAATAAACTTTGACTACTGTCTTATATTTACGTTGGCTATTTCCTTTCAGGAAACCGTTTGACTTGACATGCTAGAGTCATTAACAGCAGCTTGACTGGCATCAGTTCCTACAAATCACCCAGCTATAAAACGTAAAGCGCGGGGATTCCAAGAGTCATGACGTTTGCAGCGGTGTGAGAAGAAACATGGATATCCTCAGCTCTTCAGGGATTATACATGCTGATACATTACAGATATACATATATACGAGAGAGAGGTGCACACTGCAGTCTACACTAATTATCACTTTCCATTTCCAAGGCTATCCATGCATCAAGAAAGGAGAGAAACTCTCTGATCTTTTTTTAATGGTTTTAAGCTCTAAAAATCAGAAGGTGGAAAATATCCCTAAGCAAGTTCTTTGCACAATTCAAGTGAGGGCTGCAAGACTGACCTCCCCCTTTCCCTTGAGACTGCATTTTCAGTAATTGTGCTTAAAATATTTCTGAAAGAAAAAGAGGGGGCAGTGAGAGAGGCAATGAAGATAAAATAGTATTTCAAAGACTTACTGAAACACACAGATCAGTGCTGACTGTTCCTCTTATCTTTCTATTTCACATTTTTGAGGATTGGGAGTTTACTATTATGCACTGCATATTTTCTTTAATGTGCATGGATGGGAAGACAAAGATTCAAGCCTTTACTTTCCAAAAGGAGGACATTTTAATACAGTCTTTGGGACAGATAAGTCAAAGGTACATATGAGAAATGCAGAAAAACAGAATTGACTCTACTATCTAACAAGACCTATATAGCAGGATTATACTCCATGGCTTACAAGAGTATCGATCTGTGTGTACTCCTCAGTGGTGTTACATTCATTTTAACATTGATCTCCATTTCATTATACCACTGCATCATGCACTCTCAGTGTCATCTGAGTGCCACTCTAAAACTGAGTGTCTTCTGTTGCTGTCAAGTTCTACAAATACGTAGTGCAGCTTGCAATTCAAAATATCAATTCCAAAGCCTATTTGTTCACACACATACTCCACATTTAAAGTAATACCAAGGACCTACCACATCTTAACCTCCAAAGAAAGTTAAATATATAGTGAAGAAGACATCTGTAAATGATTTTGCTTGGAGGAATTTTTTTTTATTATTATTATTATTTTTTTTTTTTTACTCAGAGCATTGTTTGTGTTGCCTTTCAGAGAAGCTTGAAAATACCATTTCTTTCCCTAACGGCTTCTTTCTATTCCATTTGGAAAACATTGATTTTGCTTTCCCTTGTGATTCTTATGCAGCAGAAGTAAACATGGCTCTGTTTAATATATGTTCAAGTCTGTGCAACGCCATCAAATTCACTATAGCTCTGGGAAGTAAACCAGTCCCTTTGTTGGCTCCTAGTATTGCTACCACACAATGCAAAATACCACCATTCCTACATGCCCAGAGAAGCTACTGGCTTTGTGGATTTGCTCGTGCATGCTTTATTCCTCAAAGCACATGGCTGGGCACCAGGGCCTCATAAATCCTGATGTCAGCTTTAATAACGTGCTGTTGCTCAGTTGGAGTACAGTTACAAGGATACATGGTCCAAAAGCTAATTGCACAAACTGTAGTGCATATATACAAGAAAAAATAGCCATTATACATAATGTATTAACAAATCAATACACACACGATCCTGGGCTTATCACCAAAACCTCTGCTCCATGTTATGCTTACCATTCTGCCACTCTAAGCTCTGCTGTCCTCAGGCTTACAATTATGAGGACACAAGCCCATAAAAACCTGCAGCAGCTGCCTGCAGGGATTGTCTCCTTCCCTGCTGAATGTGTTTTCAAGATCATGTGCAGACTTGTTAGTCCCATAATTCTGGACAAAAGACAACTGATCTTGCAGCCAGATAATAATGCCTTCCTGGGGAGCAGGACATCTCCACACTCATACCTCAGCCATTCCACAATAATCAGCCTTGATTTCATTGTGAGATGTAATTCTGAGTCCTACCCTTTGTACTGTTGAAAAAAGGACAATATTTACCCATCAGTGTGGAGGAAAACGGCTAGTTTTACCCTCCTGTATGTGTCACAGGAGATGTGAACTTGGGAAAAAAAAAAAACACACCTATTATACTCTTCATGGTTCTCAATTTTTTTTCCTCTACAAATTACCTTATTCTGCCTTCATACGAGTCTCCCTTTTTCTTGTCAGTATTTCTACAGTCAACCTATGTTCTCCCAGTCATTCTTCTGCTTTAAAAACAGCAGTGCCACATTTTACTGCTGCCAATCCAAGCCTCAGCACTTCAGCTACTGCATTGTGGACCTTGATCCAATGTATAAAGATGGGAATCTTTCCAAGGACATCCTTAGGCACTGGCACTAGATCTGACACTATATGGAGGGACGAATTTCTCATATCCTTAGGTTAACTTCTAAAAGAAAAAGGCTCTATCCAGCGGGAGAGTTACTTACCAACCTGATATTTTATGCATTGAGCTCCAGAGTGTCGCAAGATGATTTTAAGTATCGCAGCAGACAGCATCATTTCGTATAGTGAGTTAGTTCTTTTAAATTGTTACCTCACTTACCACTGAAGCACCTAATCAGGAAAAGAACAAAAAAACACTGTTTATGCACTGCTGTACCACAATGCACTGCTGCTCGCATCTCAAATTCCTTTTCTTTTCTTACAAAGATTAGACCTCAAGAAAAACGGAGCGCTTTTGTTTGCATTCACTGCCCTTTTTAATTGAATAGAATAGGAGCTGACAGACTAACACTGCAGGAGACGTTATTTCACTGAAACTGCACATAAAAGATTCAGTAGCTGTGTAAATGTAAACATGGAATTTATGGAAAGGTGTCCATCTTTTTAAAAAGGAATGGACGTGCAATTCTGCCCTGCAGTTTTACAGCATTAACCAAAAAGCTTCATTCCACCTGCAGCAGTTACTGTTGTGGGCATTGGCTCACCATGGATACATCGTCCCAAGCAAAAGCAAATGCTGGCCAATTCCAAAGACACTACTTCAGACACATTCAGTATTTCCTCATTGAGTCTGAAAATGTGTGCAAGGCTACCCGCATAAGGATGGGGGCTTGTGGTGGCTGCATGTTCTGCATTAAGATACTGAATCTGCTAATGCCAATCCTACGTCAAACAACTTGGTCACCTCTGCTGGTTAGCAGAGCATCCTTTTCTCTAGGTTGTGCCTAAATGATGGTGGAACTGAAGAGGAGGAAGAGAAAAAAGGAGATGTCATTTCACAAATGATTCAGTTACAGCATTCTTCTCTCTCTTCCCACTTATTTCTCTGAGTATCTGACAATCGAGAAAGGTGCAATTATCTAAAAATGAAGAAACTGCAATATTAAAAGAAATAGACTTTTAGTGGAGAGATTGAACATGAAATTTCAAAGGATCATTCATCAATGTGTTGCTTACATACTAGAGGTAATCTCTGAAAATCACTAGAGTTATACTACTGGGAAAAGACAGTGATTAATGAGATCCTGCCTCTGAAGGACACATTTTAGGTGAAAAGAAAAAAGTAAAACAGACAAGTGGCACGAGCAAATGAGACTTTCTCTTAATTGTGGTCATTGTGGACTAGATCACAGATGGGTTATGGGACCACACAGTGCTGAAAAAACATTCTGGGATTTCATGCTCTTTCAGTTTGTGAATACAGCAAAGAAATGACCAGGCTACACGGTCGTCATAGCAATGTAAACATTTATTTAAAACACAGGTCTAATGCTGGGGAAAATTGCATTGCCAAGGCTCTAAGCAACAGTATATTGCACAACTAGGTCCTCCCATTCCTACTTTTTAGAAGTCTTAAGTTCTGCTGAAGAAATATAACCGCTTTCTTTCCATCAGCATACAGCTTTTGTGTGTGCCTCAACATTTCAACACTTCTTTGAATTTGCAATCTGCCTTCATTTTACTTTTATTACCACTTGTCATCCAACTTAATCCATGGATATCTTATTTCCCCTGACTCCACTATTTCAGTTTCAGAACTCTGCAATTGAGAGAGCTGTCTGAGGAGCTCCAACTGAGCCCTGGAGAAACATACACTCATGTCCCACAATTATGGACTTCATTAAGAACATATTTAAGTGCAGAAATGAAGGTAGGGTGCACATATCCACAAAGATGATCACTGCAAATGAATTAAATCAGTGAAAGCAGCAACAAATCTTTACCAAAATAGTTGCCAGGCTCCATTATGGTACACTCTTCCATTACATTCACAGCTCCCCAGAACCAAAATGACTTTCAAAAGTTAACTCATTAACAGTTATCTTAATAACAACTTTTGGACAATAATGACTGTACAGGATTGCCTGGGTGGACATGGACATCTGCTGCACGTTCAGAATCAATGGCTGATGAACTCTCAGCTCTATGTTTGGATGTGTGACACTCTATTATAATAGACAGTCAAGTAGCATTAATTTAACTAATTACCTACTCTTCCACTCTAGCATTCAGCCAAATTAGCTCATGACAGAAGGAAGATGCACAAAGACGAGAGGAGGGAAAGGAGATGTGTAGGAGAACAAACTGAGGGGAAGCTTTCAGCATTTACAAAGCCCTTCCCCAGTGCACCACTAACACTTGTCACCAGAAGAGAGGGAAAGCTCTTTTCTTTTTCTGTGAAACCAGGGGTCTCCGGTAGTCCTTTGTTTGGGTGCAAACAAGAAGCAATTCAAGTCAACTGATTGGAATTTCCTAGCTATAAGGCCAAATAAAGAAAGCGAGCATTTCCTCCCATGATAACTGCATCCCATCCCTTGGATTGTTGCTTTCCCTTTCCCTCGCAGCAGGTACTGAGAACAATTCTCACCTCCAGCACTGAAGGAAGCAGAGCTTGTTTGGAGAAAGAATTAAAACCAAAGCAAAGAATATCATTACAGCAGTGCTCACTGCTCCTGCTCTTTTTAATGTGGTGCTGGCATTTTCATTATAAACTCATATTTTCAGTTTTTATAACTCAATAATAAAAAGTTGCTGAGGGCTAAATATTGGCAAGCAGCTCTGCTTGCCAAAAATGAAGCATTTCCACAGCATGGAGGGAGGGCAAGAGTCTCCATCTCTGCTTATTTCACTGGGAAAGCAACTCTAACATCATCAGTTCTATACCAACAAGCAGCCCCTACCAGAGCCTTTGCACAATGTGCCAGAAGGCTCATAACCACATGCAGTTGCAAGCACAGCTCGCAGCTCCTAAGTCCAGAAGAAATCAAAAGATCAAATTTCCCCCAAGCGTCAGGTATGATATTTTCTTTTTGTCTTAGATTTTGAACCAAAAAAAAGAAAAAATATATACCCCATTGATACAACTCACCATAGCCCTCCAGGTGTTAAATGGCACTTGTACGAAGCAGAGCCAGTTCTCTGCAGGATGGATGGATCACAGTGCAGGACTGGGAGCTGAGTGCTGCCTGTAACAGAAGGAAGAAAAGCGAGGAATACTGCTAAAGTGACATACACTCTTGTGTAGGGAATAGGAAAAGTTTCATTAAAAAAGAGACAAATAGAACAGCCTCCACTTTTTTCACATTTTCAGATGGAAAGTGTAACTATACATATCCATATATTTTTTAAGAACCCAACTCTGCGACCTTGCTATGACCTTATCACTCCACTGTGATAAAAAATGAAATACAGCGAAATAACATCTAGCAGAAATAACACAAAGACAGAACCAGAAACTGCTGTCACCTCACACCCATTCCCTCTCTTTTCTTACAGCTCAGTGCTCACATCTGCATGAACGGCTCTCCAAGTTAACAGCTTTATATCAGAACTGTGCTATTTTAGACACGCTATTTATAAGCTGCTTTTTAATGTAAAATTAGAATTTCACCAAAAACAAACAAACAAACAAACCACCAAAAACAACAAATCAAGATTTTACTAAGAAGAATATCATGCCAGGAAAAAAATAAGACAACAAATGCAGGCTATACTTCATTCAAGGCTCTGTCTTGTTAAAGATCTAAGTGGTGTATACATGGCTTTGTGGTGTGATGCAGTGGTTACCAAGGAAATCCTTATTTTTTTAAAAGTTTAGTGAAGACAATGCAGTCACACACATAAATAACCTGAGTCCCTGGCAGGCTAAATTGTACAGTGGCAGACCTGAACACGTTTACATGTTGGTTTGTTTGTTTGTTTCTTGTAAGCAGATATTCTTCTCTAGTAAGTCTTCATGAAGAAAATTTCGTTAGATAGTGATTGTAGTTTTTAATTGCACGTGCTGCCGGCTGATATTAAATTACATAACCTTTAAAGTGTCATAATCTATGATTCCTGAAAGAGTGACCCAAGTTGGGGTAGATGAGAGTTTCCTGAAGCATTTCTTGTGCTAAAAGTTGAGGTTTTTTTTTATTTATTTTTTATTTTTTTTTAAGTTTTGCAGGAACATCACTGGAGATGTTTATACCACAAAGATTCTTAACAGCTTCAATAACACAATCAGAAATTTAGCTTGGAAAAAGCATCAGCCATAGGCCTGCCTGATGGATCTCATACATATGTGCAAGCCTGGAAACCAGAAAATTCACTTATGTCTTGATTAAGGGGGAAAAAAAAAAAAAAAGAAAAAATAATATTCTTAAATTTGATATATTAATATTGATATATTATTGATAAATATATATATATATTTTGTGAGAAGTGCTCGATAGCATACAAGTGCCTGCACTGGGCCTGACCAAAGCTCCAGGTAATGCAGTATCTTGTCTCCAGCAATGGACAAAACAAGACAGCCATGAAAGAGTCTCAGCACTGGGCAGACAGGGATGAAATACTCCAGCCAGGCGCTCCCCAGCCTCCAGCCATTTACACTTCACAGACATCCTGGGCAGGCAGTTTCTACTCTGCTCAGCAGCCTCACTGGATTTATTTCCATAAGCTTGTCCTTGAAGCCCAATAACCTTTCAGCTTTCTCAGCATCCCAGGGCAAGAAGTCATAGGACTGAGCCTCTGCAGTAGTCGTTACAATATTGTAATAAATGTAATGCTGCTTTGATGAAAGGCTAAATGACTAACTCGGCTAATGACTGAACAGAAATAATATGCTATGTACAGTCAAAGGTGGGTTTAAAATGCTTGAACAAAATGAATGGAGGAAGTCAGTGAAAGGGCATATTTAGCTGAGTGGCTTTTAGAGGCTCCTCTCTAGGGTAATAGATCATACCTTATGAGCAAGTTCTTGGAGAAACCAGCGACACAGCTCTCAATAAAGCTAATAAACTGAAGCTACTTTCCCTAGCCCTCTTGCTTTGTCATGAACAGAGATTACGACTTGGAATTTTGCAGTGAAAGAATATCATCTCATGTCTTAATTTGCCTTATACTGGACAAACAGGATCTCTCCACAATGATGTTAAGCTCATAAGGATGAATATGGCACTCCCAAGCTCCCACTTATCGTTTAATCCAGTGCACATAGGTGCTGCTCTATTGATGAACAAAAAGACTGTCCCCACTTGAAGATCTGACCACTTTCAATTCGTAAAGGTTTGAAAATGAATTTGAAAGTAACACATCTTTCAACATTATGTAACTGAATTTCTATGCAAGCTGTGTGAAATACAGGAAGACAGCCTTTTTTCTGTCCTCACAACGCCTGTCGCCCTGACTGCTGTGTGAGAGATTTTTAAAGAAACAGACCAGCAGAGAACATCTCACTGTTCCGTATTTTACAGGGAGAATAACACATTCCTTCCAGCTGTCCTTATTAATTTATAAACAGCCATGATCCTAGGTTGTTCTGGTCATTCCAATTTATGATCAGAATAAAATTACTCTCAATTGAGAGAAAAAAATACCTCTGCTCCAAAGCTTCATAGTAAGTGATAAGTGTTCACTGGACCGTAATTATGTCTTTCAATTTTTCCTATGCCGTTCCAGTGTTTTATTTTTTTTTTTTTTAATATAAGCTTTTTAATTAAGCTTTAATCTTCACAGCACTAAACTAAATTAAAGTATCTTTATAGCGTTGCTTTGGTAACTAGTAGAAGGAGGAAAATTACCTTATCTGTTTTTTCACCATGTTGCAACTGTAAACATCTCAGTTGTGGTCTTTAATCTGCTCACTTTCACTCAAAAATAAAAATTAAAAAAGCAGTCACACCGAAACCAGTTATCACTGCTGGAGCCATAAATGGCCCACAGTCCTCCAGCGGGATCTCACTGTGCAGCCAGGAACACTTTGCTCAAGGAGATTTAAATACAAACTAATTAAGCAGGACACAAATAAGGCAGACCTGAGTGAAACAGCAGTATCCATCAAAGGAAGTTCCCACCTCTTCTTACCCTCCGGTTCCTTCAGCAAAGAAGCTGTAATATGGCAAGTTATATATATAACCTCCATATGAGGTTCTGGAAGCTTCCTGCATATACACACACATCTTTAAAATCTATCTGCTACTCTTCTGCAAAGTCATTGCCCCGTTTTCTATCTGGACAAAATATCACACAACAAATAGAACTGACCCAATTCATTGCCTAAATATGACCTCATGTTATAACAGAAATCGGCTTGAGACATGAAAACACCTGCAATAACTGAAAAGCCCATGCAGCTCAAGTATTGAGTTGTGGAATGGGTAAGAGGAAACAAGTTATTAGACCTTTCTTTTAGTATGATCAGAACTGTGGTAAGCACTCCTCACTTTCAGAAAGAAAAAAAAAGTTTCAGAAGATCACCTTACAAAATGTTACAAGCCCACAGGGCACTGTCGACAGCAGCCCAAGCTTCTGCTGCCTCTTTGGGAGCAGCCCTCTGGACTGAGCAGCAAACAGCCATGTCACCACACTGATGTGTGCATCAGCATCATCTGAAGGCACAGCAGGACATTGCGCATCTGTACAGATAGGCTTATCCAGCCACAGGACATAAAACAGCACACATCCCATTGCCCTGGCTCGGCTGCTGATGCAAATCCTTCCCAGCCAAAATCCTTTCCTCCAGTTCTCATTTGCAAGGAACAAACATCCAGAGCCTGACAGCTTTGGAGAGAGGACAGACTGCAGGCAAAGCACTACGGAAAAACCCATGCACGTGCACAGCTGGCTTTATTAATGCTTAAAAAAATAGAAAAAGGTTCAGGTAATGAAAGGGCTAAAATGTGCAGAAGTCCCCCCAAAAAGCCATTCTACAGCTCTGATTGCAACTTGTTTTGAATTTTCTGCTTATTTCCCACTAAATCAACATGAAACATCAAAGCCCATAAACCTAAGGCATATAATAAAACCTTGTCTAACAGTGACAAAGTCAGCATTCACCGAAGGTACATCTCCCACTTAGAGATCCTAAATCTGAGTCTGAGCTGAGAATGACAGAACAGGCAGCACTGAAATCAAGTTGGCAATTGGTTAAATTTCTGTTTTCCCACTCTGATAGACAACAAAATGGTTGAGTTTCAATTCATTTAGAGACGTAAGAAGGATGTCAGAAAAGAGAATATACAGATTAAAGACCTAAGAACTGTCAGCCATTGAGCGTAAAAGAAGAAAGAAAAGATATTTTATTTTGCACCACCTTTCTTACAATGTGCTGGAAAAACCTTTTCGCTCAAGTCCCGTGCATTGCATACCTATCTTAATCTTTCCCAAGCAAACCAAGGAAAAACAGATTCTTAAACTAAGATTAAATGTTGGCCTCGTAGCATAGTAATTAAGTATGAACTAATTAAGAAAAAAGAAGTCCAGTCATACAGTAATCACAAAGAGGACTTTTCCCCAGTGTACATTACCCCACACATCCTACTTAGAGCCATGTAAGCACATGAGCTTATCGATCTCGCTGAGAACAAATGCAATCTCTTTCTCACGTAATGACTTTTTCCCCTAAGGAACATTTGAATGTAAGGTATATTTAAGCAGCACTTGAGCAAAATAAAATTACTCTGTTCAGCACACAGATTATTTCAACAACATACCTGCGTCTGTAATCAAGCCAGAGGCTGTTTGCTGATTGCTAATTGTTGCCATCATTTTTTTTTTTTTCACATAGGAAGAAACAACAGTCCTATAAGCAAGTGCCAACAATGGTCTCAATGGGTTGGGGTAGAGTGGCCATCAGAAATCAGTCAGGGCAATGGCTGGGTGCCACTGAGTGTGTACTTAGCAAACATAATTATTTAGAACCTCAGTGTGCTTCCATGTGTCCTGGTTATTGCTGCCACTGCGTAAACAGCAAACATAACTCTCGCTGAGCAGGGACCCGGGCTGCAGACTGAGGGCAATACATTAACCTACAACTAAAGTGCTTTCCATCAAGAGCATCCCACAGGATTTGATATGATCCATGAATTATAAGAGCAACAGTGGCAGCAGCTGGATTCCAGCTGTTCACCCACTCTGACAGATGTTCAGGGCCTAAGTTTGCAGCACACTGTATTTAAGCAAGATCCTTTTCCCATCCAATAGA